TCCTGTCCAGTGTTCATGCCCATAGCTAAATTAATGTGGGCTCTATTTACTTAAAAAACCCAATCAAGTTATTAAATCTCAGTGGGCTTCAGCTCCCTCTTCTGTAAAGCATGCTACCAACCTCTCAGGCAGCTGTAGCAGGAATTTTAAAAGGTCTTATTAATAAAAACAAACCCAGAGCCAGGTATTGGGGTGAATGCTGGAAGATCAGAGAAGCAGAACAAACCACAGTCACCTCACCTCGCCAATTCCTCAGCTGATCTTGTTTCCTCAGACTGGAAGCTTCTGAGTCCTCATCCAAATGGATCTCAGCTGCACTGCTTCTTGAAAGCCTGAAGCTTAACCAGGCTCAGTCCTCGTCCTCACACCTTAAATACCTTTCTGCTTTCTGCCATCACTTCCTGGGATTAAAGGCGTGAGTAACCATGCTGGCTATTTCCAGTGTGGCCTTGAACTCACAGAGATCAGACGGATTTCTACCCTGGAATGCTAGGATTAAAGGCGTGTGTGCCACCATTTTCTGACCTCTATATCTAGTGGCTGTTCTGTTTTCTGACCCCAGGTAAGTTTATCAGAGTGCACAATATTTTGGGGAACACAATACCACCATAGGCAGCACCACACAGATGTGAAAATATACGACATATAAAGGACTGCAGGGTACAAAGTGCTGTGATAGCCCAGCAGTCCCTACTCAGCTGCCACACTCTGATCCGCTCCCATTCCTGTCTTTGCCAGTTTCTCTATTTTATGCTCTAGAGACAATATGAAGGTCATATAAATTTCCATAACTTTTTGTAGTTAAGATACAACATTCCTTCCCAGACCTCCTAACCACCCCCTTTTATGTTTTGACTATTCTGAATAATGAAGAAACAGGGAGGATGTGAACTTGAAACGCCTTCCTTCGCTCGCCTACAGTCTCCAGACTCAGCATAACCAGCTTTTCCCTTAGCTTTTCAGCTGTTCCCTCTCTCTGGATATCTGCTCAAACTCATCATCAGAAGGCTTTAACACAAAGATGAGCCTCACCATCCCTCTCTTTCTCTTCCTGTATTTAAGCATCTGTATTTCTTAATATTTATTTCATTTTGGAATTTCTTCTTTTTTGAGACAGAGCCTCAGTGTAGCCCAGGATGACCTAGAATTCACTGTGGACCCAGGCTGGCCTACAGTCTACGACAGTCCTTCTGCTTCAGCCTCCTAAGTGGTATTATGGGCATTAGTCACAATGTCAGGTTGCATTTTAAATACTAATTTTATTAATAAATTATAATAACATGTATTTACTGGGTACAAGGAGATGTCTTGAAATGTGTGTGCAATGCAGGAAGACTAAACCAAAGCACTAAGTGTAAACACCCTTTCACCTCTCTTTTTTTTAATAATACACTTAAGGTTTATTTTTACTGTTGTTTATTTATGTATTTTTTGGATACAGGTTCTACATATTTAGTCCGAGTTTGTTTCAAACTCATTCTGTAGCATGCTGGACTGAAACTCATATCTGCCTGCCTCAGCCTTGCATCTCACTGTTTTTCTAAGTACATCAAACATCAGCTGAGCATTGTGGTATGCACCTTTAATCCAAGAATTCAGGAGGCAGAGGCAAGCAGATCTTCTTGAGTTTGAAGCCAGCCTGGTCTATACAGTGGGTTCTAGACTAGTCAGAGCTTCACAGTGAGGTATATCTCAAAAGCAAAACAAAACAACATTTCCAGTTGTTACTCTAAGGTGCAGCTGACCTTAAGGCCCATTCTGCCTGTTCAACTATATTCTTTGATTAACAACTCCCTGTTCTTCCCTTCTCTATCCACCAGCTTCAGATAGCCATCATTTTGTCCTTTCCCTCTGACTTCTAGAATTGAGCTGAGGTGTTATTATCTTTCTTTGCATGGCCAATTTCATTTAGCAGTCTTCCAAATTCACCTATATTGTTACAAATGGCAGGACTTCATCCCTTCAGACTGAGTAATAATTACTGCATATTCTTTATGCATATACAGTAATATGTACTGTATATTCTTTATACATCCATCCACTGATAGGCACTTGGGTTGTTTCCATATCTTGGTTTATTAAATAATGCTACAATGATTGTGAAGAGCTCATAGCCCTTTGACATACTGATTTTCAGTCCCTCTAGAAAAGTATCCAGGAGCAGGATTAGTTAATCAAATGGTGGTTTATTATGGTTACACTAATCTGCATTCCTATAAACAATATGAGTTCATTTATCTGCATTCTCTATAACACTTATCATTATTCACACTTTTTTAAAATTTACATTCGAAATAATTTATATACTAACTATACAAATTTTGTGTGTGTGTGTGTGTGCATTAGTAGGGTAACATGATGTTTTAATTCTTACATACATTGCGTAATGTTTAATCAGTTAAGTATATCCATCTCTGCTGTGGGATGTTCTGTATGGCAAATGTGTTGCTAATTAGTCAATAAATATAAACACTGATTGGCCATTGGCTAGGCAGGAAGTGTAGGCGGGACAAGGAGGAGAATAAAGCTGGGAAGTGGAAGGCTGAGTCAGAGAGACACTGCCAGCCGCCACGATGACAAACAGCATGTGAAGATGCCGGTAAGCCACGAGCCATGTGGCAAGGTATAGATTAATGGAAATGGATTAATTTAAGCTGTAAGAACAGTTAGCAAGAAGCCTGCCACAGCCATACAGTTTGTAAGCAATATAAGTCCTCTGTGTTTACTTGGTCGGGTCTGAGCGGCTGTGGGACTGGCAGGTGAGAGAGATTTGTCCTGACTGTGGGCCAGGCAGGAAAACTCAAGCAACACATCTCCTCAAATGTTTCCTATTTGTCTGTGGGGGAAAACACTAAAAATCCTTTCTTCTAGCTTTTTGAGATGTTATGTGCAACTCCCATACTGAGCAATTGTTTTTGAACTTCTTGCCATGTCTAGCTGTAATATTGTAACTTGATCTCTGAGAAGCCAGCCTGTCCTCTCCATGTGGCATACCCTATCTTGTCCAGTTTTCTTAGAAAACTCCTGGTTGTGAATAACTATTTCACTAACTGCCTACTTCTCTAACTCAGGATTTAATTTCTCTCTTTTCTTGAGATGTCCTCTTTCCGTACTTCTCTGTCTCCTATGGTCTTCTCTTTCATCTGTTTTTCTTCCTCTGTCTGAGCTTAACTGAGTTTCAACAAATTCTGATCTTTTTATCTGTATCTCTGTCCTTTCATGGAATTCCACCCCACCTGATAACTTCAGCTGTTAGTTCTATGTAGGCAAGATTAACATGAATTGTACAGTAGTGGTAGCGAGAACTCCTGTCCACATCTATGACTTCCTGCAGAACATCTGTCTTAAGCATCCAAGACTGCACACCAATAATTTCATTCTCAGTGGAATATCATCATGCCTCCCAGACTGATTCTCCTTCTGTATCTCATTTTCTCTCTCCTAACAATATCCTTAGCTTATTTCTTAGACTGTAATTTAGTCTGATAGTCAACCCCTTGTTTTTACCCCTTTAAAGCCCATTTGTTATTACACACTCCTTCTATAAATGGCCCCTTGTCACAAGCTGGAATTTGACTCCCAACTACATATTCCATTTTCAAACCCTCCCTCCATAATTCACTTTATATAGTCTTTTCTATTAAGTCTATCATTTGGTATCATTTGTCAAAAGGAGACTATTTTGGAATTCAGTATTACCAGAGTTGTTATAGCATCATTTGGTGTTATGGTAACCCATCCTCATCATACCTTCACACTTAGGTCTTATAAAATGTCTTCCAACAACTTTACACAGTTTTCCTCTTGCCAGTGGAAACTGACTCACAGTTTCCTTATGAACTGCTCATTCGGATGACTCTTTGTACTGCCCTCCTGACACTTTCAGATACGTTCTCACGTTTGATTGTTTACTTAGCTCCATGCTTTGTACATGATAGAACCTCAGAAGACTGTAAGTTCAGCAAAAGCAGCAAGGACAGATCATTGCTGGTTCTGCGACCCAGAAAAGAACAACTATTTCAGAGCTACCTGTGGAAACAGCCATTTGGTGGCAGCTGTGCCATGCCTGAGCATCTCATGATCCAGCATGAAGGAACCTCAAAAGTAGGAGTCCTGGATCAAATGGGGAACGTCTCCACCCAGAGTTCCCTGGGCTCATCCAACGCTGTCTTTCTAACTGTGCTCTCTATTCTTCAGCTGTAGTTCACTGCAGCACAATGTCTCACGCAGCTGTGCAGGTCCACTAGCATGGTTTCGTAGCAGCTCCCTTTGGGCCAGGTGCTCAGCCTTCCTGAGAAACTTACTCACATACACTGCATTGAGGAAAAATCTGCTTCTTTGGTTCCATGTGGCTTGTATGCATCTGAACCATATTCTTCTAGGGGCAATAACCTGCTATTTACAGTTACCTATAATCTCAGTAAGAACTGTAAACTATAATGAAGGGAAGAAACAAGACAGTGACGGATATCACGAAACAGCCTTTCATTTCTCTAAATAGCCACTTGTCTGTGTCCAAAGCTGATACTTTTTACAAGAGTATCTTCCCTGAGACTTCTGGTGTAGGAGTGTCAGGAGAGAGAAACAGAAAAGAAACCCAAAACACACTCAAAGCAATAACAATGAGGGTTCTAAATAAGACACCAAAATGGCCAGCATTAAGTAAGCACCTCCTGAGTAAAAGGTACTCTGCAAATTCTTTAATTACACGTTCTTCCTAATCCTCAAAATATCCCTATGATATTGCTTTATCTTCAAATTTCAAGTGAAGTCTGTGGAGTTGTAGTTCATAGCGGTTAAGTATCTTACTAAAGATTACAAAGCCAGATTGGCAGAGCTAGCCGCTTCTAAGAATAATACAAGAATAAAATATAGAGCTCATCTCAAATGGAAAAGATTTTAAACAAGTATTAATACTCTGCAAAATGATGACTAATTCAAGAAACATGTATATTGCTGATATGAGCATGTGCTATGCATAGAAAAAGCAATGTACTTACTCTCTGTCAATCACAAGGCAGGTGACAGCCTCTGCAGCAATTACGTTTGCCGTTCTCACATCCTCCCTGCATAAAAAATAGACACATTAGGATGGAGCAGCCTTTAAGACCAAAGGCAAGTGACTGTGGGGACACATCAAGGAACCAAAGTATATAAACTTTTTTTGATTTATGCACTTTCAGGTTTAGGCTTCATGTGAAGAGCCACTTTACACATATTATAGATCACACATTTCCTGCAGTTATAATGTAGTTTGTTACAATTATCAAATTTAAAAATTCACTTACACAAGTGGAAGAAAATTATATAAGATAGTTTCCTTTGCTCTTTTGGGGGAATTTCTGAATTGATTGCATGATGATAAAGATGGGAATGAATAGATTAAAACTTTTGAAGAATCTAAAGGCATACCCTGGAAAGAATATCTAATTCATCTGTTATCAATTTGACATTGTATCTTTGAGATCAAATGACCAACTTTAAATATTTTCTCAATATAGTAACATTGCTTTTATGTAAGTAAGGTTTGGGGACTTTATGATATATAGTTATTCCTGTGTCCCAGAGCTCATGGCTCTTCAAGTATTTGATAAATATTACTCACAGTGACTTCAATATATAAATATTAGGACAACTATTACTCACAGTGACTTAAATATATAAAGACTACCTTTTCAAAAACATGCAATTTTTTAACTATAGCAGGTGATAGGAGTCTGGTGTAGGAGTCTCAGGAGAGAGAAACAGAAAAGAAAACTGAAACACACTCAAAGCAATAACAATGAGGGTTCTAAATAAGACACCAAAATGGCCAGCACTAGGTAAGCACCTCTTGAGTAAAAGGTACTCTGCAAATTCTTTAATTACATGTTCTTACTAATCTCTGAGACCTTTGAAATTTTTCCCTGGTTCATCTCCAGTAATAAGAGATGGATTTGGTAAATTAACTTCACAAGTCATTTTCAGCTATCATAAACTTAATATTATCATTGTCATAACACTAAATCACACCTGACAGTGCACCCTCTTTTCTTATGATAATGTTTCTAAGCCAATATAATTAATGGCGAATATGCATGAAATACATCACAGAGGTAATTGCATAGAAAAGTATTGTGTTGATAAGTTTTCAAACCACAAAATTCAATGTTCCACCTAATCTAGGCATCTGAAGTATTGAAAATAAAGATGTTCCCAATGCATCTTTTACTATTGAAGACACACACAGTTCTGACACAAACTCTAAATTCTGTAATTTCCCCCCATTGACCTATCTTTCGTTATGTCCTTCATTGTTGCCATATCATCTTGTGTGGGTTACAGCTGCTTAACAGAAACAGCATTTGGTATTTGATAAACCAAAACAAATATTCTTTCACTAACATTATTTTTTCCAGAAATACCCTTGTGATATTCTTCAGCATTCATTATTTGATACCGACCTGAAAATCATTTTTCTTCTTTTAAAAAATCCCCACAATGGGATTCTTGTAAAGATGTATTGAATTAATCCACTGATCTCAGAAGCTACAGTTTCTGATATTAATTTTTCCATACAAGACTATGGCATGTCTTCCCATTACTGGGGAGTCTACTTTTATGTTTTTGAATTCTTAGGTGCTGCAGATTGGGTTTCTCTTACACACCTTTTCCATTTGTGACTTTTACTTTAAAGAAGGAAGGTCTTCCTTGTTGTAGATTTTATTATTTTTTAATTTTATTTTTATTTATTCTTCTCTCATACAATACATCCTGACCACAGCTTCCCCTCTCTCCTCTCATCCCAGTCTCTCTCCCACCTCCCCTTTCCACCAGACCCAACCCCCTTGTTCCTACCCCAGAAAAAGATATTAAATCTACCCCCAACACTAAGTTTTCCTCTGACTGTAAAATTTTTATGATCGTCTCAGGAGCTGCCAGGGTGAGCCTCTTATGCCTGCTTCACATTCTCTGCCTTCCAAAGAACATGGCCTCCTTTCAAAATTGGCAAACATATGTTCTTTCTCGTGCCCAGTCCTCATAACATGCTGTTCCCAGGCTTAAATGCTTCTCTCCAACTGGATGCCCCCCACCCTTGTTTGTCCTTTGGGTCTTATTCCCAGTGCCCTTTCCTTGGGCATTCCATCCTGAATTAGCCATTGGGCTTCCCTGTATCTGTTCTCATTATCTTACATATCTCCACACGCAAGTGCTACCACTACTTAACTCATATATTTATTTATGTGGCTTAGGGACTTCATTTCTCTTCTGCTAAGCCATATACAGACAAGGGATGATGGCTAAATTTGCTCCCTATTTAATCCTTAATGCCCAATATAGGAGGTACTTAGTAAGTGTGTGCTTTAAGGAGGGCATGGGTATTGCATTCCTGAACCTGGGGGTGGTAGAGATCAGATAACATCATCATCATCATCATCATCATCATCGTCTATTCATAGTAATGAAGTGACCTCAAAGGCCAGGGGCATTGCATCCTCCTGAAACTGAAGTTTCAGATAGTTTTAAGCCACCCATGTGTTAGGGAATGGAACTGGGGACATTTGTAGTAAGTTTTAGGCCTCTCTGAAGGCTTCTCTGTTGTGGCAACAAACCGAATCAGACCGAATCAGGAAAAGTCCAGGTTTAATTGTCAAAGCACTCCTGGGCGATTCCTTGCCCCCCAGAGAGGAGACTGGGACAAGACAGGAAGAACCACGTGTCTGTTTTTAGGGATGCCGCTTATATACCCTGTGGGGGTGGTCTTGAGCCTCTCTGGGGGAGGAGCTGTGTTTAGCAGGCTTTGAAGGGGCGGGTTTGGGGAAAGAGATGGGAAGGGGAATTGAGGCGGGTCTTCAACCAGACTCCTTCCAAACAATTTGCAAGCGCAGTATGTGGTCTTGATTGCTGACTCATTTATCCAACCCTAAATTCAGCCTTCAGAATCACAGGAACTCGCTGTTAACACAAGATCTACCAATTGTAAGCTATGTAAACCTTTGTTGTTCAAATTGAATCTTAGATGGTCTTTAAATAAAAAACCCAGAGCCAGATATCAGCGTGAAAGTTGAAAGATCAGAGAAGCAGAGCAAGCCACAGCCACCACCTATTACCACACAAACTCCATGAATCCTCTGACTGAAATCCTGAGTCCTCACCCAGAAGGATCTCAGCTGAATGGCCTTAGTTCCTGTTTCCTCAAGCCTTATATACCTTTCTCTGCCCTGCCATCATTTCCTGGGATTAAAGGTGTGTGTTTCCCAGTACTGGGATTAAAGTGTGCCACCACTGCCTGGATCTGTTTCCAGTGTGACTTTGAACTCACAGCCGAGTGATAGGATTAAGGGTGTGTGACACCACTGTCTGGCCTCTATGTCTAATCTAGTGGCTGGCTCTGTCCTCTGAAACCTAGGCAAGTTTATTAGGGTATACAATATATCACTACAAACCTCAGTTCTTTTACCTGAGCATGAAAATGGAAAGAAGCCATTCAATGTCACTCTTACCCAGTAGCAAAGTGAGAACTGCAGATGATATATTTTCAAATCCATTACTATTTTCAATCGAAGGTGATTTTTGGGTGTGAAGTAAACACAGCCAGCATAAGCGCATCATTCCCATGGGCTTCATAAGTTGTGAATAACTTATTCTCACCATGTGTTTATGGCCTCATAAGGTACTACAAATAGCTTCTTAAAACAGCAACACTACCATGGCTTTATGAAAACATCATTTAAAATCTACTCTTCCACGTCTGTCTTCATCTTGACTATTTATAATGTTGCTTATTTACACTGTCTGTACTGGTGCACAACTGTACTATAGTATCCAAGCACGTGGAGGGGGATCATGAGGTCAAGGCCATCCTGGGCTGTATAGACTACACAGTGAGATCCTTTTATCTCTGCTACCTACTGCCAAATAGAAGAAAAAAAAATGGATATTGCCTATTTAGAAATATTTCCATCTTGACTATTAAGAATCTTAAAAATAATATAAATAACAGTATTTAATTCTGAGTATATTTTGTGGATATAAATTTTAATGGATTAATCATAAATAAGCAATAGTTTAAGATTTTATTATGTTATCTAAATTAGACTTTGAACATTGAATATAATGTTTTTCTGAAGCAGAATTTTTTATGTAGACTGTAAAAATATCAAGGCTATTAAGGTATTCAATAAAATATTTTGTTACTTATGAATATAATCCGGATTTAGGTATGAATGTTGTAATGTATAAAATAGAGGGTGATCCTAATGGACTCTATGTTGTCACTAGACATTTCAGCCAGTCACAGCTATTATATTTTTATACAGAATATTGACCAAGTTAGTAAGGTTGCGTATTAAACATAAGCATATATTAAGAACTGTATAAAAAGAGTTCATATAAATATTGTTTATTGAATATAGCAAATGGCAGTTACTTTGTCTCGGATGAGTGCATGAAAATACAAGCTACATAGTATTTCAGCAGTCAGAGCCAGCTCTCGAGTTGCACTCCTGGCATTTGAACACAGATGGACTGTTCTCTGAATCAAATTCTTTCCACAAATCCACATTCTCATATACTTTGTCAGAGCTAAATTTTATAATAATTATACATGCATTAAAACACAGAACAACTTTTGAGCAGTGGTCATAATATCCACCATACAAATCACATTTGTTAATGAATCCAGCACCAAAATATTTTCAGTGTCTAGCCACAAAATAAATCTGATAGACATTTAACTCTTAAATTATAGAATTCCCATTCACGGACATGTCCTAACCTGCTACGCAGCTTTATGATGATGTCATGTAATACTAGGCAGTTATTTAATGTTAAGTTCATTTGACCCCAAATCATGCTGCCATCACAGCACCCTTCAGGTAATACTGCCCCTCTAGTCAGATGTCCAAAAAAGCTCTGAGGACCCTGCTTCTTTGAGGAACAAAACACTGCTTGACTTGGCTTTGACATATGTTAATCTTCCACTTTGGCGGACATGCTTCTAATAAAAGGGTATTACTGGGAAAAGCTGCCAATACTGGGATTACTGCATATATTTGTTTGTGTTGTGGGTCCAAAGACTGTAGTA